ACACATTTTCTTTGCTGACTTCCATCTTCATCAAGTTATTTTCTTCATATCCGCCGTATCGATTTCTTCCATCCTGCTGTGCGTCTGATCCACTCAGCTTCACCACCACTGAGCTTTTAGTAGTAGAGTTGCAGCAGGAATAGGAATAGGTCCCTCTGGCAGTGGTGGCAGTGTGTGCGTGGGTGTATTAGCACACACTGCAGGTATCCCCATGCCCCACCCACCCCCATGCATAAGTCATTATCGGAGAGATTGCAGCCTGCAGACGCTCATACATCACTGTTAGCCTTCTTCTTTAAAGGAGGGTGAGCGGAGATTGATTAAAAGGAGAACCAAACTGAGAGGACATTAGGAGTGTAGGAATTAATTACTGTTTCAAGTGAAGTTGTTTTAGGTGAGGAGCTGTACTTGTCTTCACACACGACCGTGTCCACAACCGAGGCCGAGGAATGGACTGTAGACTGACTGAGGCGAGACCCCTGTTCAAAGTTACAGGAAGCAGCCTCTCAGTGAGAATATGTCATGCATGTGCAATAGCATCATCCCTAATGGATATTGCGTGCGTGTGCTCGCAGTGTGTTTGTGCCCGTGCATGTGTCACAGACGTTTACGGTCGACGTCTTTGAACCTCAGCTGGCGTTTTAATCACAGCGCTGCATCGGGGCCGATCGCTCTCAGGGGAGCGGCGTCAAGTGGATGGAACGAATCGCCACGTCGTGAGGTGGAGTGTGACTCGCAGCCACGGGGAGTTATCAAGTGGGTGATTACAGTTCTCCAACTTTTTTCTTTTTTGTGAGTTTGACTTGACTTGTGTTGTGGAAAAAAACTAACAGTACCGAGTGAGTCCTATAATACTGAATACTGAAACAAGAAACTTTGAGGAAAGAAGTTTGTCTTTGGTATATTTATTCTCTGCAGAGGAGGCTTGGATGGGCCAAGAGTGCAGTCTGAGTACATCTTTTAAAGGGTCAGTCCACAGGGAAAGGGGGGGAAGGTGTGTTTCTCAATAAGACATCTGTTTTTGTTCCTAATCTACACAATATACATACTCCCAACACTAAAGATTTACGACTGATCTAATCTAAACATTCCACAACACTCCCAATCGGATACTTCCTTTGAAGGAAGCTACAGCAGACATCCGATATTGTATTGTCTCACATTGAATAAAGCACATAAGAGAAGTCACAGTAGAAATGTACTTAGCACAATGGAATTTTCTATCACACTTGAAAAACTAGTCAAAACTAGTCAACACCCCAAAACCTGTCGGCGTGCCATCCCCTCGCACACTGTACACAGTGGCTTCTGGATCGACCTAGACCAAAGAACAGAGCAATGCACGAAGAGTGATAATGGAATAAAAGTGTGTGTTATATTGTTTGCCAACACACATAACAAGAGGAATTGTATTAGAAGTCGTAAGTTAGGGAATATTTTTGTACATTACCCTATATCCCCATATTGACATGATATGAATAAAAGTTGAACTAGATCATGTGAAATTGGCTTCAAGCAGTAGATAAAAGATGCATCGCTCCATTGTGCAGTGGTGTTACAGAGTGAAGCTTCTAGTACCTCATAAACAATCAGAGTACAGACACCATCATGCAGAGAAAACACAGACCGGCCATCAAGTTACAAACGGAATTTAAGACAATGAGTGACAGCTGATGTGACCTACCGCTGGCAATGTTTGTTATTTCAACCAGTGAAAGTGACAATAGGAGTATTATTTTTAGTTGTTTATTGATTTCTTTGATAGCATATTGCCTCTGGGGGAAAAATCCTTCGCTTTTGATTCCTTTTAGCTCCCACCCAACACGTACTGCAGCCGCAGAAAAAAACAGCTTGGGTCGCTGGGTCTTCATTTGAGGCTCCAAAATCAATACAAGGCCGGAGCATAGACGTCAAAGCAGCGTGACACGCCTCATGACGCTTTGGTGTGTGTTCAGCCATTTAAAACAATATGTGTATTTCAAAATGAGCTGGTCAGAGCAGCTCTGTGAGGCTGTGCCTAGGTACAGTGGCAATTTGAGCTAAATGCTAACATCAAAAGGCTAACATGCTCATCGTGACAATGCTAACATGCTGATGTTTAGCAGGTTTAATGATTAACACCAACCTACCTAGATCAGCGTGTTAGCATGATACCATTTGCTAATTAGCAGGGTAACACAAAGTAGAGCTGAGGCTGAGTTTTTAAAGATATGTGGTCAGAAACCACCGAAGTCATTAGGATGAATCCTTTGGGAAACATGAATGTTCTAAAGTTTGTGCCGATCAAGTAGACCAAGTTGAGACAAGCTATGAGGTGAAGCTGATTATAGGCTACAGTAGCCCACTGCATGTCTCCATCCAGCTTTAAAGTGCTTTTGTGAAAGTCTGTGTTTTTTGTATGTAGTAGACATGATATGTTCACCATAAAATCACATTCACAAGTAGAAGTCAAGGGAGTCTGGAAGTGTTATCAGCTAATCTCATCAATATTTCCTGGTTGAAGGCAATCGCTGAGGACACCAATGATCAGCACAATGTAAACAGTAATAAAACATCAATACAATAAATACAAAGAAAAAGAAAAATAGTTTGAGAGAAAAAAAACAAGATAGAAAAATAATATATTAATATTATTGATATTGAATGCTCTTGGATAAACATGGTACAATATCCATGCTTAACATCAGCCCGTTAGCATCAGCTAACTTAGCCCGTGAGCACACTAACAAGAGACTCTTTCCATTTAGCCTAAACATTATATCTGTAAAACATAAGTATGTGGATAGAAATGATTAAGGATTATGCCACGATGTGCCGAGACACCGTAAGGCATTGGGAGGCCAAACATGTTTCCGTTGCAACGAGGGAAATCATGTCTTGGTGCATTCAAACTTGATTTACATGAATGTATTGATATGTAATGACTGTATGTGTGTGTGTGTGTGAGAGAGACAGCTCAGAATGATCTCAAAACTTGTGGAGACAAAATGGAGGAAAATATCTATTCAACAAGACAAACATTTGTTTTTGTCCCAGTTTGATTTCCTTAACTCCCATTCTGTCTGCCATCTGTCCATTATTTCCATCACTTTCTCTCCTTTTTGCTCTTTTCGCTGAATTTAGTAATCTTCCGGCTTTGGGGTGAGTGCAACATTTTCCCTCAAGTTCTCATCTCGTGAAAAAGTTGCTTATTTTTACCTCATTTGACACCAACTACAACAAACGTGCCACGCATCTTTACAATGACTTTGTTTGCAATGAATCCGCTTCTAACATTTGCTTTGTGTTGAGTTAGGCAGAGAATTTCTGAAAGCGTGCCTGTTAATCTGGAGCGGGTTTATGAGACGCACGAGGAGGTGCGGCAACAAAGCATCCTTCAGCAAGCTTAAAGGCAGAGCACTGAACCCCCCCTGTATCGGGGATCCCTCCCTTTTGAGAAATGACTTCAAGCCTCCTTTTTCTAATCCAGATCCAATTTCAATACGATTACCGAGATTGTCCCGTAATTCATCACCGAATGAGAAATCAAATCTCCCCTGAGAGAAGCACGGGGGCTGGGAGCCGAGCCGTGATCAGACAGAAGATTGGTGGCGTGTCTCCAGAGCAGAAGTCCTCTTTTTTTCCTCCTGTATGTGATAATTCTGAGTGGTGGGGATCTGATCCGGGGTCAGCATTTCTGTCACTGTCGCTAACATCAATCACCAGGGTGTACTGTGACCGGCTGCAGATGGAGGGTTACTGTCTGATTGTGTGATGTGCAGCGTAGGCTCTCCCCCATTTACACTGTGTGTGTGTGTGTGTGTGTGTGTGTGTGTGTAGCCCGGTTGACACTAAGAAAGAGTAAGTCACAAACCACGTTGCCTGCTGCATGAAGCATTCATGACACAAACTAGTAAACGTATGACTTCCAAAGCTTTGCATATTGGATGAATTGTTTTCATTTAATCCTTCACTCCACTTGTTTGTCCGTGTCCTCCAGAACAACACAGAAGAGTCTTTTGATCGGACCACCATACGATGAAGGACGTGATTTGTCAGTTGTTTCCATTCACGTATTTTCATGCACATTTTGAAGTATCGCTGTAGAGAAGCTGTATGGAAACGGCAACATTCAATCAAATTTCGTCAATTACCAAAATGTTTGTATGCTCGCATAAGGTGGTTTTAGCCTTTGTTGAAAAAAAAGTTGATATGCAGAATGGATCATGGATCACAACCTCTACTTCTTCTACTCTTTTTTTTACTGGTGGAGTGCAAAGCCATGCAAAGCCTATAGCATCAACTTCTGAGCAAACTACACTGTAGCTGGGTTCATTCGCTCCAAACTAGTTGATGGAAACGGCCTAATTTGCATTTCTTTTTTCACATTTCAATAGTTTACTTGACAATTGAATAGAAACACGACTAGCTGCAGTTAGCTTTTGCTGCTGGATGCTGGATACACTAATGTTAGCACCAAACTCTTCCTCACTTCCCCGCGGTACGCCGTGGACCGGGAGCCAAGCAGTCAGGCCCGCCACGAAAGGGGAACGTGTTTATGGCACTACTTTATCTGAAACTCATAAACATGTTATTCAAAAGACTACATCAAAATGGGGTGGTCAAAGCCTAAAATGGACATTTAATACAGGAATGGACACAGTTAAACCTCTGATATCTGCTATGAACCTTTCTCCCAACATCATCCCCTCACTGTAGGATTTCTCCGTGTGCTCAAGCTCCCAAGTGCCCATTACATTTTTTGCCTTTGGTCACAGGTCACACAGCTGAATCCACTTCTAATAGGACATTGCATTGATGAGTAATTACGTCATTTGTCTAATCATGAGGTAACGATTAGACAAATGATTAGACAACATGCCATGCAATCGGCATGTTGCAAAATACAATAGAATAAAAATATAAACATATATGAACAATAGAATAACAATTATTATCTCTCTATCTCTCTCTCTCTCTCTCTCTCTCTCTCTCTTTCTCTTTCTCTGAGTCTCTCACAGTGGGATTCCAGGGAAGAAGTGTGGAACCATCATCTTCTCCGCCGAGGAGCTCAGTAACTGCCGGGTTCGTACCAGATCAAACTCAGGACACTGTGTTTCATGAGGCACACACACACTCTGTGATATAAGCAGTCCGACACGGGGGTCAGAAAGTTAAGCTGTCAGGTTTCCATGTTTCCATTTTTAACTTTGCCGAATGAATGGCCGCACAGACAGAATAATTTTGTCATTGGCATCAAGTGGAGGGAAAGTGAATTTGTACTTTTCCTTCAAAGCGATGATGAGAGGCGCTCATGAATTATTTATCCAAGTCTATAGTTCACTTTTCTTGCCACGGTGGGTAAATAATAAGACACTCAAATCAAAGAGAAGCACACACACACACACACACACACACACGCACACACACACACACACACACACACACACCACACAAACATGCTCCCATGGTATTACAGTCCTCACTTCTATGCAAACACATGCAATTCCATGCATGCTGCTAATGATTTGAATACCGAGGAAGCAGTTTGCTGTAATGTTTACACAGAATTAAGTTTAACCTTCCTGATACTCTATCATGCATTTGAATGTGAGGAAGGTGAAACTCACGCTATATAGCAGTGATGGTGGTATACTGCAGAGTCCTTGAAGGCTTCAGAATATGAAGTTTACATTTACATGTATTAGTTATAGTTCATGAGGCCTTTTGAATGCCTGTGTCTGTCCCTGGTTAGTTTTATTTTAATGTATCAGTTCTGTCTATCCAAGGTTTTAAGTTTAATAACAACCCAGCGTATCAGACATTAGATGTTAGACTAGTGCAAAAACTGCCTGCAGTGTATTCGGGCAAAAGTTCAATTATAAGACAAAAAAAAGAAAGACCTGTACACCTGTCTGTGTTTGTTTCAGCTGTCAGCCGGTCGCACAGTGAGACTTTAAACTTTAAACTTTAAACTTCAGCAGTGCTTTTAAACAGAACTGCTAACTTTAAAAACTCATTACATCAAAATTAATTCAGATTTGAGGTAAGTTAAAAGTTGTCTTGAGGGTTGAGGTTCTAAGACGAAAACACGGACAACTTCCAGACCGGACAACGCCGTAGAGACCTGTCAATCACAAGGTAGCCCCGCCCCTAAAGCATACTCCGTGTATTGAAGAAGACTTGAAACTAGCAAGAAGTGAAGTGAGAAGTAGCGTCATTTTTTCATAGACTTCTGTACAACCAGACTTCTTCATGCAACCGGAGGAGTCGACCCCTGATGGCCATTAGAAAGAATGCAAGTTTACGCATTGGCTTTAATGGCATTTTGGTAATTTGTTGTTGAAAAAAGCTAATAAATCGCAGTATATTTTATCGCAGTACTTACCACATTGCAAAATGTTAAGAATCGCAATGAGCTCTTATTGTGACTTAAGTATCGTGATAACGTATCGTGGGGCCTCTGGGATTCCCCCCCCCCTATGGATGACATTCACTACAAGCATGCACGTCTGGCCCGGCTATGTAAACAAAGCACAGAGAAACTCTGATTACAACACACACAGAGGGAGAGTCACTTCATCCTCTGCTCAGGTGGACATTACTCTACTATATCTTTATATACACAATAGTTTTTTCCTGCTATATTAATGCTCTGAATCCCGTATATTGCACTTATTTTTACCTCATTAAGTTAATTAACATCATATAAGTCCATTTTAAACTAATACAATCTGGTGTTGGCCATAGCAGCTATACCTGTGTGAAGTGAAGTGAGCTAATGAGTAAACGATAAACTGTTGTTGTCCTCCAGGACATAGCCACCATGCAGCTCTGTGCCAACAAGCTGGACAAAAAGGATTTCTTCGGCAAGTCCGACCCTTTCCTCGTCTTCTACCGGAGCAACGAGGATGGGACGTAAGTGTGTGTTTGCGGAAGATGCTTGTGTTGTACAATCCATCTGTTTGTCCTTCAGTGGAGGCGAGTGTCCTGCTCATCTGTTGCCAAACTTCCCTTGTTAGTGACTGTGACTGAAAACCTGCCAGCAGATTTCTCTGTTGGATCCAGTCCCATGAGGGGTTTGAAGGCTTCTTGTCCGTCGGATGGAAGAAGGGTTAATAGATTTTCTTGACACCGAGACAGAAAATTCTAATCTGTACTTACTGTATCCTTCAATATTTCAGACATGCAGCTCAGAATCCAAACCCTCTGTGAGACAGTTCTGTCTCATGCTGAAATGCATTTCAAGTATGTGTCAGAGTGAGCTAGCTCCAGGGAGCAAAACGTATTATACATATACACTCATATATTCCTTGTCTCTTTGTGTTTCCAGGTTCACCATCTGCCACAAGACTGAGGTGATCAAGAACAATCTGAACCCCGCTTGGCAGCCGTTCACCATTCCTGTTCGGGCGCTCTGTAATGGAGACTATGACAGGTGAGGCGACAGCATGGGGGTCAGAGGTTAATGTTATTGTGATCTACCTCACCTCTATGGAGATTTTTGTTTTATATGCTGGCAGGTGATAAATGACCTTGTGTTCATCCTGTTGGTTGTAAGCAGTTTAAATTCATCCTGGATGCACTATAAATCTATTAATAATGACCGTATGTCAGTAAATGTGACCTGGAGAAACTACACTGGATACACATGACGTCCACAAAGGGAGGAACTAAAATATACAGTTTGAAAAATGTAAATTTACATTCAGACATTTGTATAGATGCTTATGAAACGTAAACCTCGGTCTCAGGGAAGATATGAGTTTCATATGGAACTAGCAGACCAGATGAATCCACTGCTACCAAACATGTCAGCCTGTCAGGAAGGAGGCTAAATAACGTTGCGAAGTTAGGCTAAATTTTGTCAGGGGACAACTTTTGATGGGGTCCCTTGATGTCTCACTTCAACATATGAATGAAAATGGGTTCTAAAGTACACACTAGTCTCCCCCTTACAGACATGCCCACTTTATGATAAGCACAAGCAGTTTGGGGCAAAAGCCTAGCAGTTGTTTGTGTGCAATATAAATATGATATTTTAGCCTTTTCTAAATGGTATGTTTTAACATTTCTGCATATTGGGCTCCCTAAACAGTCTTGGAATTGCATGAAGTGGGTTTGACTGGAAAGTTGAGACCCTTCAATGAGCCCAGTTGTATTCATGTGTGATGCTTTTTGTCCACATAGCCATTTCACATAGTGAGACCATTTTGTGAAACTTGATATCACTGTGTGAAATCACCTGTTGTGACTTGGAGAATATTCACACCCACAAACCAGAGACCGAGGGCATTCAGAGCTTTCCTAACTATTAACATTAAGTGGGTTTAAGTGGTTACCATCCAATCACTGAAAAAATGCAGTTCTAACAGAAACCTACGAATATCCCAAGTTTTAGACACCAAATCCCTCAGCCTGTATCTGGGACTGGCATTTATTTGTTTGTAGCGACCACGCCCCCGGCCTTTTTTTGAGACTCTCATTGTTTGACTTTGATCTACTTGGATCCTCGTCAGGTCAGAATGAACAGAGATCAACATGAACATTCAGTAAGTGTGCAGGCGATACCTTCTTCCTTATTGATGCTGTTCTGACAACCTTGCGCCTAAGTGAAGTGTGTATAATGAATCTTATATAATATCTGCATCATATAAGATTATATATATATATATATATATATATAATAAAAAACAAATTACATCCAGTACTAATGAGAAACAACACATGAATGTACATGGACCTGATGTTCTAGACTGGCTAAGAGTAGACTACTGCTATGATAAGCTAATTAATGCTCTGTTGGTAAAGTTTTTAATCACTTATTTACTCCTGGAAATGATTTGTTTGATAAACTGTTGCTTTAGGGAGAGAGGGAGAGTTTACAAAACAATTTGCTGCATTAGTTAATTGTTTGTCAGATTTGTCATTTGAGCTTATTAGCTAGGCGACTGTGAGTTTCCCTTTATTTAAACTGCAACTGGAAATACTGACTTCCTTAGATGTTGTTTTTATTTTAACAAAAGTAAAGTAAAGCCAAATTAAACTATGTGAAGATGAGGTTGGACCCTGTGCTGGTCAGAATAATGCCAGCAGTCGGCCATGCTCTCAGTCTCAGGCCAGTGCTGGTGTTATTGAGACCAACATGGAGGCAATGCAGCGGCAATCTCACAAGTTATTTATTTACACCACAGACTATGTAAGAAGTGGACGTAGTCGTCGTGACGTCATCCATTGGTTTGTGGACTGCCGTTTTGAAGCCTTGAGTTTGACATTTTGGCCGTCGCCATCTTGACTTTTTGCACCCAGTGATTTCAAGTGACCATATTTAGACTGTGGAGGAGTGATGTATAAACACTGTATGTAGCTCTATTAGTGGTAGCGACCTGTCAATCACAGTAATCGCCCTAAGGTATACTCTGCTTTATAGTCTACTTGACTCTAAATGGACCATAATTTACTAAATGAATATCATGATGTATTGAAGAAGACTTGAAACCATAAACTCATGTTTACAATGTTTAATTACTGAGGTAATAAATCAAGAGAGAAGTAGAGTCATTTTCTCATAGACTTCTATACAACCAGAAGAGTCACCCCCTGATGGACATTAGAGAGAATGCAGGTTTAAGACACTTCCTTGGCTTCACTTTTTAGAACCGGAGTTTGCTGCTTGATTTACACTGGCCGTAAACCATTACATACAATCTAACACAAACACACACAAACACATCTTTTTTTTTCTTCTTCTTCAAAACTAGCCTATTATCTCCATTTCATTGATTGAATTTATTGTAATTAAATCTGACATTGTAGGGCATTAGCACATTTTAAACAAAAGACACTTCAAAAGTAATGTGAAAATAGGGGCTCGTCAAACATTATCCTTTCCAACCTCAATGACCACCACACTGCCTGGGCATGGCGATAGTCACATCTTTTTTACTCCTGGTAGAAATACCATGGAAGGACAGCTATGAATGTACCAAGTATTGAATACTACCAAGTATTGTGTGTGTATCAAGGCTTGATGTATCTTGTTCCTGTGTGCCATAGAGCTCCATTAAAATGCATCAATGAGCCAAACTGTTGCACTGGGTAACATGTTCCTTCATCACCATGAAAACACACACTCTAGTTTAGTTTGACTAAATCCCACACACACCGTCCTGCTGCCCCAAATACTCACTACATCACCAAATGTTGATTAATCCACCCCTGAAAATAGTCCCCACTAAATGCACAATTTCGTCATGTACGATTTACATTATTTTTTTAAATGATACTATATTTGTGAGTTAAAGATTTACATGTTCAGTAGGAACATGTGCACTAGGCTAAGTGCCAAAGACAGAGTAGTATTGGGATATGGGCGAACACATTGTTGACAATATTAAAAATGATTTTAGAGAAGATGAAATAGATGACATTTAGTGTATTATAAGCATACTGTACACTAGGGGTGTCACAAGAATCAATAATTTGGTACCAAGTCAATGCCAAAATTCTTAAAACTGTGCTCATTTTTCTACAGTAATGTAGGTATCGGGGGTTCAGGGCATCGAGACTAATGGCGATCCGTCATTCCGGGGACGATAGAAAATGCTACAGTTTGAACAACAAATCTGTGTTGAAATCAGCTTTAGCTGTTAGCAGCCGGTAGGCAGCAAACGGAGCTAACACCTAACCCTAACGAAGGTTTCATTGAGTTACATCATGTGCAAGCTATATTTAGTAAAAGTGGCTTAATTATAACGTGATGTGGTCATATGTAATCTTGTAAAATGTAGTTTTTGGTCAGGTGGATTATCAAAAAACAACCAGTATGTAACAGTAATAAGGGAGCGTGTGTGGAAGCAGAAGGGATGTATTGTTTTATTTTTGTTTTTTTACCGTGGTATCGAATTTAAAATCCAGAATCGTGGAATTTCACAGGTATTGTTATCAACTTCTAAATGTGTGGTGTTGTGACATCCCTGCTGTACACACAGCTGCACCTGTTAAGCTGTCAGAAGTTTTAAGTGAAAAAGGGTTTCAAAGGGCTAATGACATGTTATTACTGAGGCTGGTTAGCCGCGGTTAACTGCCCAGGCTCATATGTGTCACATAATTAGTGATCATTTGAATTTGACAGTTTAAAATGTCGACATTAATACATAATTTAGCGCTGTGTTGTTAGGACCTTGATTATTCTACAGCACACTGGTTGTACTGGTTGATCTCTGGGCTGGATTCAAGATGCAATGTGTATTCTTCTGTGTGCACCACTGTACTTTGAATATTCCGTTATGCTACTGGCCCACTATGACAAAGAACATGCCAAGTATTATCCACTCAGGGTTATATATAGTGTTGCATATAAGGATCAGTACCATAAGTATAGGTGTATTCCTTTAAAAGCCTCCTTTATGACATCAGACATTGTTTATCATATAATGTGAATCCCTTTTTTTTTTACTGGTGAAACGTCCTACTGATTGTTTACTTCCTTCACTTTACATAAACTGTTGATCCCTCTCCCTCTGACATTTCTCTTTCTCACCCTCATACTCTTCCTCCTCTCTGTGATTCTCATATCTGTCCATCTCACCTCCAGGACGGTCAAGGTGGACGTATACGACTGGGACAGAGACGGGAGGTGAGTTCTCACGCTTTCTTTTCCTTTATTCATTTTCAGCTCAAGATTGGATACCTCAAATGTCACACCTTGTTCTGTCAGACCTGAGCACGGGGGGGGCATTTCAGTCTTGAATATTACGCACTAGAACTGAAGGAGGGCTCCACCCGCCTGGCACACGCTGAGTAATAAATCAAGAACAACCAGCAGGTGAAAGGACAGGGGGGTCGGGGTTAATGAGCACTGACCGCAGCACCGACACAGCTTCTCTCTCTCACTGACGGAGTGTTACTGCAGGTGCTCACAGGAAACCTTGTGTGCTTTTTCAGGCTCTCTGGCCTTTCGTTGCTGCTCTCCAAAAAATTTCGGTTAGTTGAAATTCTTGTGGTATTTTTTAATTATAAATCCACAGTCCCAGATTTCCACCCAAAATATTAGGCAGTTTGCTGTAGCAGAATGCGAGTGAGGTGCACACTCAATCACAGGCCACGCACAAATGTGCCTGATCGCATGATTCTACTGGTGGAGATAATAATAAGAAACAGAAAGCGAAAGGTACGGCAACATTTTTCAGTTCTCTGTAGGATTCTTTCCATAATGATGTCAGACTCTTCTAAATCTGAGCCTGTTGGTGACTAAAACAAGCACTTTTAGTGGACGTACTTGACGATGAGGAGTTGTCCCGAGAGATTGTATTGCTAATTGTTAATTGGCTTACGTCTGCAACATTATCCCTCAATACTGGACCAATTTCAAAAATTGTTGTCCCCATTAGTCACTTAGATACAAAGACGTGGGGAAATGTAAAAATATTTAAGTTCCCCTTTTTCGTGTCAGTACTACCATTAAATTACCACCAGTGTTGGGCAGGTTCCTTAAAAAATGTAATGAATTACTCATTACATATTCTCATTTAAAAAGAACAAACATTTAAAAACATAACTTCACCAATTACTCAACAGTATTGAGCAGAATTGCTTGTCACATTACTTTCACTATTTAGCAACATCTCATATTGTGCGTTTCACATATGTAGAAATAGAAATTGGGACAGAGTTTAACAAGCAGTCAAACCAATTCGGACAGCTCACCCCAAACACTTTTCTATTCTGACACAATGTTTACTCATTAACATTTTTTAACCATATAACTTCATAATTTTTCTGAAGAATAATATTTAACCTACTGTATAATCACTGAGGCAGGAACATCTCATTATAAACTATGTAGTCCTTTAAAATGTAAATGTTTATCTGGTATATTACAGTAGTATATAAATTATATAGACTGCTAATGGGACAAGTGACACAGTGTTGAATATAAGAGGTAAAAGGAGGGCAGACATGTTGTGATAACTAAAATAAAGAAACATAAAGAAACTACCTACACTTCCCTTTCTTCTTCTGTGTCTCTTTCTTTACCTAAGCCTCATTGCTTTGTTTCGGTCTCCTCCCCTCCCCCCTTCTTATCTGATCAACCTCCTTCTTTCCCACTGGGAGATGATTGCTTGTTGTTTGCTCCTTGACAATTCCCCCTCCAAATATCAGCATTACATAGGCAGCGTTGGTGTCAAGCACAGCTTCAGGTGGTGATATGGTGGTGATATATTTGGATGCAGAGATGATCTGAGGGCATGCAGGGAGTTGATATTTGGCAGTCTGATGATGCTAGAGGGGATTTGTTTTCCTGTTCAGATGAAAAATCACGTGTTGAACCTTCTTTCTCCTAAGGATCCACCCAAGAGGAGGAGATTTAAGGGCTGGGCTTTCCCTTCTGGCACAGATCAAGTGCAGTGACCATACACTATGGAAGTAGTGGAATTACATGCAAATTCAGATTTATTATATCTCTATATGTTGTTAGATTAATAGATAACCCTTGACATAGCAGTATAGCAGACATATATGTATATATACATATGTATATAATTTATATATATATATAAATATGTATTTATATATAAACTTAAATAGATAAGTAAATTGTGTTCACCAATCAATCTACCATTTTCAAATGATATCCCAGGGTGATAGATATACCGGTTGTCGCGATCATTTTGGAAGCAGTCAGTCTGACTGCTGTAAACAGATAAGTCTAAATATTGTAGTGACGCTCATAATGCTGCGAGATGGATGCACTGGCACTGTTGGGTCTACGTGAATGGAAGAATTAGGAGGGAACGAGTGTTCAGGGATCACCTCGCACATAAGCACCTCCACTTCTGTGTCAGGAAAAAACGAATTGGTCCTTCTCTTGGGTATCGCCATGATTTACTGGAGAAGAATCCTTGATCAGCAGGCTCTCTATGCATCATCATGTATGAGGTGCCCTGCATTGATAATCTAATCTAATGAGTGTGGGCGTCTAGAGGGCGGGAAATGAGGCTGATCTAAATTGAGCACTGGCAGACATACGTAAAGTTGTATTAATCAAAATATGTTTGACGTAGAGACATTACCTCATCCGTACGTATGCAAACATTAACTGTGGATCCTACTCACCGTCTTATAAATCCACTCTGGAGAGGAAATAACTAAATTAATTGATAGCCGGACCGACACCCAAGTAACTGGCTAATTAATGAAAACACATGTAATTGTACTACAAAGTTAAATATGTCACAGTGTGAATCATTGGCCTCTTGAATAAAAATGTTACACCTGGCTTTGACCAGAATTCTACTTAGTAAGAGTCATCTTCTACCCTTGGTGTTGCATATTTGGGATGTTGGGTATCCATAGTCAAACATTTAATTCCTATCCTATTCCGCTCCTGGATAAAAGAAAGTCTCTTTGGAGAAGCTGGTCACAGCTCACACCGTGCTGTTTCAGATTGATTTTAAACTGAAAGTAGTCACAGACTTCCACATGGCTAAAAAAAAGTGTTTCAAAGTTGATGCTCAGCGTGAGAGTCACACTTGATTTAAAATTTCATCCTGGGCCGGAAGAGGTTCGAGAGTGAAATGGGTTTATATTATTTATAACCTGTGCTGGAACTGCTGCTCCATGCAGCTGGACCTCCAGTCTCACTGCTTTCCTTAACCTCGCTCCCAACAACAGCAGGCAGCCGTTTTCAGATAAAGCGCTGTGATAACACCACTGTTTACTACCTGCCCAGCACCAAACAGCAGACAGACACAGTTGGAAACCAGCTGTTAAACATAGTGGAGCATTCAGCAACTTAAGAGCCAGATATTTCCCTCAGGACTTGGTGGAGACCAAAACAGAGTTGATGGAAAAATGTATCATGAATTCTACCAGACCAATTCTACCTACTATTGCGGCTGGGTTATTCAACTTAAATTCCAAAAGGTCCAGATTGAGAAAATGTCCTCGGGCAATAATATCTAACTCGCGCTATTTAGTGCCATATACATATATATAAATATATTCAAGAAGCCTTGTAGTAGTAAGAACGTCTCTGTGTAGTCAACAACTGTCAAGTCAAGTAAAGAAAGTACAAATCAATTATATTTTAACAAATTATTATTCACAGTTTTCAAATTTAACTGGATGGATTATAAATAATACATAGAAATACATAAATAAATGTTCTTCTCTTTTCAAGTAAACTAAGAGCTAGATTAAAGAATAAATGACATAACAGAAAGCTTTTGAAAAATTTAATCATAAAATTAAGTACTTCATTTTAGAAAAATTAATTTCACTGAATTGTCCTGCAGCTTTAAATTCAGTTCATTCAGGTGTGAAGTGATGTCAATAAAAAGCCACAATATTATATTTTTGTCATTTAAAAAGATAAATCAGTGAGCAGGACTTTATCTGTGGTTATTAAACCACTTGTTTCAGTTCTATTCTCTCTGTTTACATCATTGGACAGTGAATTCATGCGTTAGGATTCTGATCATATTGGGCTCTTAGGTTTATTTTCTGTCTTCATTTCAGATGTGAGTGGGTACGTTTGTTCAAAAGAGTTGTGCTTTGCCTCGTAGTGCGCTTCATTTGCCGCTTTTATCAATAGTTACGGTTTCTGAACATATGAGACATGTTGGTTTTAACTGCCTGTGGGAACAATTAACATATAAGAGTCTGTTCATTTTTGGCTTATAAATTATATTCTCTCTGAACACGTTTCTCTTTTCGGAGAACATTATGTGAGATAACTTCTTCGATCAACGAAATTCTCCTGCTCTTCTTTCTATTTCCTCGTCTTAGCCCCGTGTGTCACGGTGTGTGTAAACCGCGCTCGAGTTAGGACACTTGTCAGAATACCCATATTTGATTGCCTGAGCTGCATCACGTGATGTGATTTAGAACGCATTAGTTGGTGTGTTTTCTGCACCGCTGAACAAGTGCCGTAACGGCTGAATAAGAAGCGCCGGTTAAAGTATAAACTCATTGCCTAATATTTATAATTTCGAATTATTTATCGGGTTTAGGTCCTGGGTCCAGATGCAACTGTGTCTGGGTCTGGATCCGGACCGCGATCCGCCAGTTGGGGACCCCTGGTCTATAGCAAGCAAGCAAATTTGGACAGGAACAAGTTTGCAAACTGAGGCAGTTGTTAATGGGCTGTGGCCCCACTGGCCAGTTAAGTGTCACCAGACAATAATAGTGTAAAACAGTCAATAAAATATGTTTTTTAGAAAGTTGGAATCGCTGCAACCACAAGAGGTCCTTGAGCATACAGTCATACATGAGCACAAAAATTGTTAGGCTGATGGGTCCAGTGGCATGCAAGATTAGCTGCGGACAAACAGACAGATGCAACACACGCACTCACTCACTCACACACAACCAAACACATAATCTCCTCCCGGGCTCCCTAGCGGAGATAATGGATGTTTGTTAACCTGTGTCCGCTAGATGTGTCAATGAGCAACTGTTTGCTAACATGTTAGCCTAACTTTAGAGCATGATACGTGGTGTTTTAGGCTTGTTCCGCTGCCAACTTTAACATTGTGTTGTGTTTTTTTCTCTATTGTGTTTGTACTTTGTTAAAGCACACAGGGAATTGGGAATCACGTTGCTGATGTACTATAACTATTCCCCTCCTTCTCTGTCTGTTCCTGTCAAAATCAATCCTTCTTCCAGTCATGACTTTATCGGAGAGTTCACCACCAGCTACAGAGAACTGTCCAGAGGCCAAAGCCAGTTCAATGTCTACGAGGTAAAATGCAAGAACAGCCAGGAATAAGTTGAACATTTTGATCAATACGGAATCCCAAACTTTATTTTCCTGAATGTGTAAAGAACATCAGAAATGTAGCATTGTTTTGGGAACTCACGACAACGTCAATAGTTCCCTTCACAGTGTTATATATTATTCATTTCTTGTGTTATAAATTGTAGCCCCTCATCTGAGGACAATATATTACCGACATCCACCCACAGGAGCTCAGACATGCATCGAGTAAGTACACATTTCTGCTCCGACAGAAACTAATTTCTCATTTCCTGTTTTGCGGTCAAGGTTTTGAATCCTAAAAAGAAAGGCAAGAAGAAGAAATACGTCAATTCTGGGACGGTAAGAGCTGCCGGAGTGCGTTTCATCAGCGGCTGTCGCATGTCAGAGCAGTAAACGGATGATGTTTGCTATGTTTTCTCGTCTTGATCCATCTCTGTCCCATGTCCTCTATCTCTCTTCCTATATTCCCTTTCACTCTGTCTCTGTCTCCAAGGTGACTCTGCTGTCCTTCAAAGTGGAGTCAGAATGCACGTTCGTCGACTTCATCAGAGGAGGGTAAGAGCTCAGTCTCTATGCTTTCATCAGTGTTGCCATTAAGTGACTTTATGGGAGTTTCTGCTTGTTTTAAGGCCTGGTCACACCAGACCACTGTGGTGTCTTTGTGACTACTTACAGGGCTAGTTGGTGAACTGCCGTGGCTGGTGAGCTAACATGCTAATCGACTTGGCTAGCTCTAGTCAGTCGCAATAACTCTCAGTGCTCAACCGTTTTGTTTACTGCTGCTGGCATTTTGTTCCCCATTATATCACCATTTTTCTTCAATAGAAGATTTTTGAAAACGAAAAATATAGCTATCTGAAATTACAAGAATGCTAACGATTAGTTAGTGAACAAACGTGTTAGCTCATTAGCTTTGTTTGGTCACTAATGGGACTATAAGTTCACACAGTTTTTGCAAAAGATGTATTCGATGTATATTTAGAATATTTTTACCATTTGATCTTGCTGTCAGACGGCCCTTTCTGACTCTCAAAGCCACAAGACTCCACTGACAAAAACAGACATTTTATTCCGTAGAATACTGGGGTTACTGGGGTTACTTATTGTAAGTCGCTTTGGATAAAAGCGTCTGCTAAATGACTGTAATGTAATGTAATACCGATCTACCGCTGCCTCAGTTAGTTTGTTTGCGTTGTTGTGTGACTTAAAGGGTTAGTTCGGATTCACCAAAGTCACACATTGACCAATTCCAAAGTAGACGGCTGCTGCCTCTCAGCTTTTGGTTTCTATTTATTTTAGAAGAATGGACATCAACTTGTGGACACTTTGCCTAAGTTAGTTAATCGATCACAGTAAGCACTATGTCTGTTTGATCGTGGGGCTGTAATTACCATCAAGAACAACGCGCTCATGTCCTTTATTTATCTTCTTTTTTCTCCTTTGGGAGTTCAGCAACCTGAGAGGGGTTTGCATTCTACAATTAATAACACCAATTAACAAATGTTGGGTGTTTGTTAGGATGATTCCAGCTAATTAAAATGTGTCTACATTTAGACCAACAAATACAGTGTTCATTATCCTCCCAGAAGAATGGTAGTCTTGGCAGTGTGGAGAAGGGTTTGTAAAAGCATTTAGACCTTCTGTTGGGAAATAGAAATGACTGGAGGTGGTGCATTGACTTGGACTTATGACACATTATATTACATTGTTGTCAAATGGAACTGAAGCACTATATTACTGTCATAACACACTATGATAACAGAAGATGCAATGTCCTCTCTGTGATCTAAGTTGCAAGTCTCTGCATGTTGATCTGGAAGTTGATTTTCTATAGTTTGAAATCAGCGGCTGTCTGCAAAGCATGAACACAAATCTCAAATAAGACTTCCATTGTTTCTCCAAAGTATGTACAGAATACAGTCTAAAATTGTAGTTATATGGCAATACCAAAGAAAAACGTTACAGTTCCTTTAATTAACTGATGTTATGACGTCACAAGGCCAAAGCGTGTATATTGAGGGTTGTGGCTGGACCCACTTTCTCAGTAGGTTCACTCGTTTTATCGCGAATGCGTATTTCTCGCAAAAGTTTGAGAGATTGCCGGAAGCTCGCATCAGCTGTTCACTACTGTTACTATTCAGCTTTTAAATATCACAAAAATAAGGTCAGAGGTTAACCTAAAGTAATCTATAAATCGTAGTCTTTCTTCTTCCTTGGACGGCGAAGGAAAAATATTGCAATATTTGCTCATTTGAACCCAGATTTGGAACATCAGTGCGTTCTGGTTGAAAGTGTTCCTCCTTGTAATCCCCAAACTGAATATCAACACAAATGGTGATTATCATCACTTGAATGTAAAAGCACCGTAACAGACTGTACTTTGGGAATAAAAGTGTAGATCCCCTGCCTTGTGATTTCTAAGGGACAGCAGTGAGCTGTTGATGAGTTCTCAATCTGGACCTCTGTAAATGTGTTCCCATCTGGAGATGCTGGCACAGTCCTAACATCTCTGCTTTGAATGACACTGATGTGCTCGATCTCTCACCAGGACACAACTCAATTTCACCGTGGCCATAGACTTCACAGCATCCAACGGTAGGACCGCGTCACATCTGTGTGCATACAGGAAATGTCCACACATCTGCTGTCTCACCCACAGTGTTTGTGATTGTCTCTGTTATTACTCTAGTCATGGACCGCATTCTCATCTTTGGGTTGGTCCTCTTTGTACGGATGATTTTCACTGCACGAATATAAAATATTTGCTTAAATATGCTGCAAAATCAATGTCAAATTATGTGTGGTGCTGCACCGCGGTGTAGTGTGGTGTTGTTCAGAAGCCCAGAAGGAAGATGTTGCACATTACATTTATTGGAGGAAATTTAGGTAAAAGCTGACATTCAGCTGTCGTCAGCAACATATTTAAATAAATAATGACGACCATGATAAGACTAGATTATTACTGTACAACAGTAGTTCCCAGCTAGTCACCGTAATGTTGTTAATATAAAACATAATTCAAATCAAGCAGTTCAGCAGAATAAGAATTTGGCTAACATTAGCAAATTATCTCTGCTCAATGACTGCAGGTCAGAGTGCCCTTAGCGCTTTTGTTCAAGCTAGATTCATAACTGCATGAGGAAAATATTTGACCATGGAGCTGTAGTTCAATGTTTCAGCAGGTAGAATGTGACCTCCACATTGGAGCATGGGAGGGTTCATTCTTAACCATGGACACAGTATAGATAACCTGAACTCTGATTTAGAAAAAAAGCCCTCAGAGGCAAGTAAGAAAAACAATCTAGAATGTTTCCTCTCCTGTAATTATGACTGTAGGACTGGTGATAAAAACAAGTTCCTTAGTTATTTAATTCCTGAAAATGGTGGGTTTCAAAGTTTCATAATAATTTTCATTGTTTTAAGTGTTTGTTGTTGTAATACTTATTTTGGCCACAAAAGGCTGAAGTGCACCACCAACCTGTGTAGTAATTAGGACTAAAAGCTGCAGATAAGCGCCGATTAAAATGCATATATGCAAAAAAGAAAGAAATCACAGTAATGTTACATAACTTGCTAATACACAATGACTGCATGGAGAAATTAAAACTCACCTGGATGACAACATGAATACTTTTAGTCATATTTAGAACCAAGCGCCCAGGAAGAGCTCCGGGCTTTGAAGCAAATTTGACATAGTGGCCAAACGGTGGATTTAGAATATCTGGGGTTCCGTCACGAAATGCATTGGAAGCCTTTTTCCCATCAACTTACATCGGGAAAAAGAGACGTCGGTTACTCAGTGGACTTTTCTTTTAGGTAAATCAACTTCCCAGCAGGAACACCTGAATAGCCCTTCTTTGAATCATGCGCTCATAGCTGAATCCAGAGTTATAGTTCTTCCTTCATTCATGTGATTGAGCCCGAGAGCAATGGTTGGGCCAATAGATGGAGGCAGGGTTAAAGGAAACGCTGGTGCACTTGCTCAATGTGTCCATGGATGCCAAGATCGACGGATGATTTGGGTAATTTCTTCTGAATTCTACTCTGAAGTTGAACTTTTTTTGCTTCAAGTACCACTCTGACCAAGTTTGCCACACTGCTGTATTGTGATAAGTATACATTTATACAGCTTTGGAATTACATTTAGGATGGACAGTCAACAGTTGTGGAGATAACACTTTATCTTTAGGATTCGTACCAGAAATCTTATTTTTGGTTGCTGCTCGTTTGTGTCTCGGGTAAATGTGATGCAAAAGAGCAAAGAAATGCTTTTTTTCCCTCATGTATCATATTTTCTTGCATGCAAAAAATGTATACAAATAGGACCACATCTACCTCAAAACCTGTAACTTCCTGTGTCATGTCTACATGCATATTCTGCCAGTATTTCTGGCTATAGACTTATTTCATTCATGTGCCATGCATTAACTTCAGTGAACATGACTGCTATGAATTCACCACGGTCCTGATTCTCTGAAAAGTATTTGTTCGTGTTAATATGGTGCTTCTCTCTCCAGGTAACCCGTCCCAGCCCACCTCACTGCACTACATGAGTCCGTACCAGATGAACGCGTACGCCATGGCTCTGAAGGCTGTGGGTGAGATCATCCAGGACTACGACAGCGACAAACACTTCCCAGCATATGGCTTCGGAGCTAAGCTTCCCCCGGACGGCAAGATCTCCCACGCCTTCCCACTGGTAAGAGACAGTTTTGTTGTCTCTGTTTTAGTGCAAAGCATTTTTGTGATGCTCAGTGAGAAGCTTTTCGACTAAATACTATACTAACAGACTCTTCAGTTGATGATCTGTTTTCATACGTTAAGCACATTTCTTAAACAGCAGAGAAACAACATTGCCAGCTTGAACTTTCTTTTTTTTAAAGGTTTAACTTATGTCTGGTTTGTATCAGCTCTGATTAAATCACTGCCAGGATGTAAAATGTGTCGATCTTGAAGGTCTCGCTGGCCACTGATGTAGAGCCCGCTTCGCTTTTGGACTTTATTCAAGGCTGACTTTGGCCAAATAGAACACTCTGTAGAGCCAAACACAAAAGAAGAAGAAAATGGTTCCCTGTGTGCAACAGAAACGCTCTGCAATCGTGTGAGACCTCTTCATGATGGACATTGACTATGGGAGAACACTTTGTGGACTGCACTTGAGTGCTCTCCACTTTGGGGCTTTTTTATGCTTCCTCGTGGCAGAGCTGTGGCTGGAGGCATTATGCTTTTCCAGTTCACCATTTCCATCCATGTTCTCGTGAACTTAATATCTCAGGAACACCTGGAGCGAGTTTCTTCAAATTTGACACAAACTTCCACCTGGACTGAAAAACAAACTGATTAGAATATGGTGGTCAAAGGTCAACGTCACTGTGACTTCACAAAACATGTTTTTGGCCATAACCAGGCAGCAACCGTTTCTGAAAAGCGAAGCAAATGCTGGAGTGTCTCGAACCTGCATTCTCTCTAATGACGACCAGGGAGCGACTCCTCTGGTTGTATAGAAGTCTATGAGAAAATGACTCTAATTCTCTCTTGATTTATTACCTCAGTAAACATTGTAAACATGAGTTTATGGTCTCAATCTCTAGTTTCAAGTCTTCTTCTATACAGCAGGATGTTCATTTAGTATATTATGGTCCATTTAGAGTCAAACAGACCATAAAGCAGAGTATGCTTTTGGGCGGAGCTACCTTGTGATTGACAGGTCGCTACCATGACGTTATCCGGTCTGAGGTTTGTTTGTGTTTTCATCTTACAACGTTGACCCTTTCACGGTGTGTTTTCAGTTCAGGAAAGTGTATTATAACATTTTTGGTTAGTAGAAATGTCTTGTTCAGCAATTTTTCAGTTGTACTAAGCTCCAACCTCTTAAGTCACTTCTGGTTTCGAAAAAAAACACAAATTTCACACAAATGTCTAATAGGATAAAATGATGAATGATGAAGCGATAAAGTTTTTGGATCAGATCAGAATAATCCCTCTACTGTGCAGTTCCTCTCAGATCTACGTAGCGTTTTATTCTGTAGGATGGTTCAGTTTTTTGGTTCAGGTTTTATTAACCCCCATTTCTATTGCCGCAGCAGGCTTCGTTCTTTTCTCTGACAAACCAACAGACACGGTTAGCAACTAGCTGGTGAAAAGAGTGGAGCATTCAGCCGCCCAAGAGCCAGATATTTTTCCCAGGAGTTGGTGGATAGGACCCGAGAGCCCCCACGGGGGGCTGTTTTAGAGTATGTAGCATTCAGCGTGTCGTAGAAAGCATTTTTCATAAAGAAATATGATTATTGCTCCAGACATATTAAATATCAAATTAACGGGAAAAGTCCGAGCAACATCATCATACCAGCCATTGTAAACACTGCAAACACAATTTTACATGAACTAATATCATATCTGGAAGATATCTAGAAGATTTGCCACAATTTTGGCCAAAAATCGACGACCTATGCTCTCTCTATGGCTCTCTCATCACGGAGCAACGATCGCACATGGCGGATGAACACATGCAGGAGGGGCACAATTCGACCCGGAAACGCACAGCGGCGTCGAAATTACTCTCTTTCGAACCATTCAAAAGTTATGGGTATACATGCCAACATCAGCCACATGTCACGAGAAAAAAAAATGGGTAAAAAAAACTTATGTTTTGACGGTTTTGGCGATGTAAAACGGATTTATTCCAGCCTATTTCAGCACAGCTCTGCCCACCGTGTTGTGCTGCATGCCTGTGAGTGAGATCAATGCGCTCGCGGAAGGAATCACAAAATGGCAGACTATTCTGTGAGGTGGAGCAATCCATGTAGAGAGGGGGGTTCGCCCTGCATTTTGCAATTTTTAGTCAGTAAACAGACCGGATACGATCAAACACCCCCGCATGGCTCCCGTTGGACTATCCCGCATCTAAAAAGCTCTCACACGAGTAAATCGGGCTTACCAGGGTCACATAGACACACATTATGAGCCATTTATTGTTTTGAATGACAGATATGACACATCATAACTGCTCAAAATTATTCAAAATGGTGTCAAACTGATTTATTAGGATTATTGAACACTCTTAGTGATAAGAAAAGTGAATATATATAGTTAATATTTAGTTATATAGTATATAAAATTAGTATACAGCAATGCAACAGCTGGTTCCGAAAATCAAAATTTTGATTTTTATGACCATTTATGCTGGCCTGCTTCACTCAATCGAAGTAAAATATGTTGTGGGGACATGTAAAACGTGTTGTTCTATGTCTGTGGTGTATTTTTAGGCTTGCAGCTGCATTATTTAAAAAAACAAATGTTCAATACAAGTGCTTTTTTTCAGGCGAACCTAGAAATTTTTCAATTTGAGCTGTGCCATAAGTGTATCAGTTATTAACCAGTAACATATACACAATATTTACACAATTCAACACATCTCATAAGTGTTACCAGTATTCTAGCATCAAAATTATTAAAATAGACCTTGTAGTTAGAGCTGGGGACTCTCTTGAGTATGGGTATGCAATTTTCGAGCAGAGGCCTAAAAATAGGGCTAGGGTCCTATGGGTTAAAAGAGAGCTAATAGAGTATAAAAGTAAAATGAACATTCTTCAGGTGAGTAGAGAGAATTGTGGTTTCTCTTAAATACTTTGTGTACCCCGAGGCCGGATTACTAATCATGCACTTTCCTGGGGGCCCCGAACCTTAGGGCCCCTGATTTACTGTGTGTTAAATAGTTTGTAGCGATTTGATCAATGGCAAAATGGTTTAGCAAAATCTACTGCTAAAGCACAGCGTAAACCAACATGATGATGGTTTCCGTTGGCCTCTGCATTGTTAGGACCCTGTCTCATATAGGGGCCCTTTGTTATTTCAGATCAGTTGTTGTTTTTTCCAGTGCATACTTCTAAATATGTTTGCCTAATCCAATTACCACAATCTAATTGAAACACAACCAATGTTGGCTGTCATTCAAAGACTGCAAACTCGCTTCAACACCTTAAACGAAATCCCATTTGAACAATAACTGTTATCATATACAGTATTTAGGGCATGTTAGAATCATCTAAAGAGCCCTTTAATCATTTCTTCTTTGTTTCTTAATACAATCACAGCCATATTTAGACAAAGCAGCCCCAAGAGTTCTTGGTGTGTCTGAGGTTGTTGAGCCTAAGCTACCTTGAGATGTTGTATTGAGTTTCCTTTTAGCTAAATGCTCTGAGTGAATTTGAGTTCCCTCTGGTGAACAGATACAGTGTATATGTGTGGGACTTTTATTGTGAAAGGTAAGAACAGAAGGAGTGGATCTGGTCTGCACTGCCTTTGTCGAGGTTGAAAGGAGTAATAAAGTTTGCTGTCGGTGCCTCGGTGTTGTTGTAAAAGGTTGTGTATACGTTTTCAATATGTCCATTTCCATTCACGTGATTAGTTGACACCTTTATTCCCGTTAAGAAAGGTTCAAAAAAATCAAACTAGTCCCCATGTAATATTTGTGTTCCGTGTAAAAGCATTAATGACAAAAACAACAGTTTGAAAAAACAATTTAGACGTGGGAATTAATCACACAAAAAAAACACCAACTCCCTGGTGTGTGAAGGCCTCTATCCTTGGATTCCAATCGACTGTCTTCAGTAAGGACAGTAACTTCAGAGGAAGCGAGGAGAAAAGTGGGAGAGAGACGAACACAACAAAAGGTTCCAGGGCTGCAGGATGAGATTAGTGTTCTTAAGTAATGAAATAATATGGCCATATCTTCTCACATGGGTGTAAAGATCTCAATGAAACGCCTCAGGTCTTTCATTAGTGGACCGGAGGATTTTTTTTTTTTCTCCGATCTGAAACTGTCGTTTTCAATCAGGTTTGTCAAATCCCATGATCCTCCTTGCTCCCACCCAGACAGAAGTCAGTGGTGGGCGAGAGCATCGGCACGCAGCTCGTCTAGATTCATCACTCTGTATGACTTTGCTGCTTTCCACGCGAGCGGCCGCTCAATCAGCTTTCCCAATTAGAGTTCACCCCGGCGTGACAAATCTCGGCGTCGAGTCATGCTAAGGCAACTCTAATTAGGAATCTATTGTTCGCAAACTACTCGGGGTGCGTCTGGAGTTCATCAAATGTAAACTTCCAGTATCTTGTCTCATAATAAACGGCTGGCATAGGACGGATCCTGAGAAAAAAAGAGAATTCAACATGTGCAGAAGTATACTGCTTAAAGTGACAAAGAGAAGCAGCACTTGTATATATTAACTCCAAATAAAGAACTTTAAATAGCTCACATTTGCAATAAATTAAGAGTAAATGTTCCTTGAAGCGGTCTCTCCCTCACAAGGACAGTAGATCCAATATTTGTTGTATTAGAGTAAAATGTTCTACTGCGTAGCGCCTCTCTTAGTGCTTAATTAACTGGCTTTTGAGTCTGTATTTGATACTTTTAAAGAAATCCATATTATATAAGAAAAACCCCAGTCTCGGGGGAAATAATTAAAAAGCGATCTTGGAGGGAGATACCAGAAAGCCACAGAGCGTGAGCGTGAACCCGCCTTTGAAAAAGAGAAGATGATGAGCCTCCCACAGCCACCATATCGGGTCGCTGCCAGAGAAAGTCGGACAAACGGTGTTTCAACAAAGATGCAAATAGTAGAATGTGGTTGAAGTCAGGTGACATGCAGCGGTGAATCATTTGCATGCCCTGTGGATGGAGGTGTGCTGTATTCACGTGGGGTATTTCTACTTTATTCAGCACAGAAATGTTTCTCTCCGATCTGAATGCCAGTAATACAATGCAAATAAATCCCACCAGGGACCTCCACTGTGGTAAACAAACACATAAGCTGCCTCCGTGTCACGCTGTGCGATGATTCCATTCAAGTGGCGTCTGAAGCGCCGACGCAGTGTAAAATAAGAAAATGTGGCGGATTAGGATTCCGACACTCTTTGTGGTGGGACAGCTCCGAACACAAAAACAAAATTAAGTATTCATGGAACCTTTATTCAACCACCTTTAAAGTCACTGGGACGTCTGAAAACGAATGAGCGTCCTGGTCCGTTATTTTTCAAATTCATAAGTCTGATGGAGTTATGTGCCCTTTCTGTGGCCCCCAAGCTTATCACATTACATTTATAAGACAGAAACTTTGTTTGTCTACATGAAAGTAAGACAGCGTTAATATGATCAAGGAGATTTCTTTATTCTTCAGAAAGACAGGCTGAAGTGTGTTTCCAGATAAACATGCAGCTCTGTCTGGATTGAAATAGTATTGTTGTAAGGTTTCTGCAGAAAACAAAGGGCTGGACCCCAATGCAGGGAGACACGGGAAACAGAGGGTTGGATACATGTGGGTTTAATGGTAACAAAAATGTATTCAACACAAAAACGTGTGAATCAAAAGTTCAAAGAATAAGTCACGAAAACTCCATGAAAATAAAACAGGGAACACGGCAGAGGGGAACAGACACGAAACGTATCAGCGAGACATGTCAGGGAGGCATGTCAGGGAGAGACATGTCAGGGAGGCATGTCAGGGAGAGACATGTCAGGGATACATGTCAGGGAGACATGTCAGGGATACATGTCAGGCATGTCAGGGAGAGACATGTCAGGCATGTCAGGGAGAGACATGTCAGGGAGACATGTCAGGGAGACATGTCAGGGAGAGACACGTCAGGCAGACATGTCAGGGACACATGTCAGTGAGACATGTCAGGGAGACATGTCAGGGAGACAAACAGACCAGGTTACACCAACGCAGACTGAGGAGGTGCAGGTAATTGAACGCAGCAGTGTATAATTAAGATCGTACCTCATATTTATAAAGAGACCGGATGAAACTCTGTGTACAAACGTATAAACCATCGACTGTTTGTGGAACAAACAGTAACGTCGCTGTGATTTATGCCTGGATGACGCTATTTTGAGAGTTGATGTAGCAGCTACAATGTTAGCATAGCCTAGCAATAATCAATCCGAACTCCATTGAGAAAACAAGCATTTTAAAAGTGGTCTACTTTTCATCTTGAGGACAGACTTCAGGGTGAATTCAGACTTTTTACAAATCGGCATCATGATGTAGTTATTTCGGCATCCATTTGATCTGTTTACTGCCGTTAAATCACAGATTAATGTCTTCATTTTGGATTGACACAGCTGTAGTAAACCTGCCGTCGTGTGGTTTGCTATATACAGTAAATACAGGTTTGGATGATGTTTTGAACCGAGACAGGTTTTCCAACCATTTGGGAACATTTACAAAGCAGCAATAGTTGTTATTTCGGCCATGAGACGTTGTTGGTATCTACATGGACGTAAGCCCCTACCATCTCCACTCCGTCCTGACAATCCACTTTTGTCCATGTCGAGAACACCCAGGTGGGAAGAGGTGATTTGACCTTGTCTCGGGAACGAGGGAATGTCCTTATTGAATATTCCCTCATTCCCTTTAATATGCAGCCGATAAATCTGCAGAAACTGCTTGTGGCCAACATGTCAACATGGACCATAAACTCTAAGGAATGTTTTCAGCACCTTTTAGAATCCATGCCACGAAGAACTCAGGCTGTTCTGGGGCAAGGAGGTTCGGGATCCTACCCAGTACTAGAGAGATGTGGCTGTTTATCAAAAAGCAAGCACAAAAATGCCAGTGGAGCCAGCAACTGTGGTTTAGCTGAAGCAGATACCATGAAATATATGACATATTAGCCCGGGTCATGCTGTATTGACAACTAGAGTTGATCATGCCATGACAACGACTCCTTATTGGTTTCCTTTCAATAGGTTTGATGTATTCTTTTACATACTGAGTTTTCTCTTCTTGCAGAACTCAAATACAGAAAACCCAAACTGTGTGGGCATCGAGGGTGTACTGGAGGCATACTTTCAGAGCCTGAGAACTGTTCAGCTGTACGGCCCGACCAACTTCGCTCCCGTTGTCAACCAGGTGGCTCGGTGGGAGATACACACACACACACACACACACACACATACACAAACACACACATGCTGAAGGAGACACATCTATTTCCTGTACGATATGTGTCACATAATCTCGCACACACACGCTCATACATAATGTCGCTCATACATAATGTCGCTCATACATAACATCTGTACATTTCCATAAGTTTCATAAGCATGTGTCACTTATCCTGTGGCCTCATGGGAAGGCAGCTGTTTATGTATGCATGTCATGAATACAAACAGAGAGAGGTGACTCGGTGACAGGAAGCAATCGACGTGATGAGCAACTCGCAGAAACTGTCAATCATCCCTGTTTTTGTGGAGAAATCACTGCTTACAATTTATGTTTCCAGTCATTCCAGATGACATTCAACTTAAACTGTCTTTTCCTTAAGTCCACCCCCAACACTTACATACACACCCACATCCCCTCTCAGAGGACTATTTACTCTTAGGCAAGGTTCCCCCACAACCATAACGCTCATAATAAGTGGCTTAGAGAATACATTACAGTCAGCTCAAACTTCCCATGCTTTAATGAGAAGCCACAACTGGCCAGGGCTTTTTTATTTTAAGTGGAGAGTGGAGACCTCCACCAGAGAAGGGAGCTTCTCTGGTTTAGATAGCCTCAGGAGTTTAAAGTCTGTACACTGACCTGTCACTCAATACTTGACACAATTTGCCACAAACGTCACACCACTCATTATTATCAGCCAAATTAAATCACACTGCTATCTCACTCTATAGTACAATGGTGGCAGAATCTCCAATGTCCATTCAGTATGAATGTCCATCAGTCAGTTTGGAAATCATAAAAAGGCGCGCCATGGAGTCTACGTTAGGGGGCTGTTCCCCAGAAACATAAAGAAAGCTCATTTCCATCACTGAAAAGTGAATAAGTTGTTTAATTAAGATAAATTCTGCTCTCTCTTTCTCTGTCTGACATTGTCTCAAACATCCTCTCCCTGCCCGATCGTATGATCTGAAATACACATGAGACAACATACTTAGAGACGGCGTTTCCCACAGGAGAAACTGTGGTGGGGGGACCTCGGAACCTGTAGGGGAGTCAGGGGGGCATGCTCCCCCAGAAGAGGATTTTGTACATTTTAAAGTTAGATGCATCAATGTGGTTGCACAGAGAAAAGGTGAGGTCTGTCTAGGTTTGTGCTCTAGTCTAGTCAACAACTTCATTATAAACACATTGATTGTATTAGCATTCATAAAATGGTCCTTTTTGTAACACTAACACAAACTATCACAATCAACTGTGATCTAGTCTCCGCAACTCTCATATTACATTCTAGTTTTCTACATTGTAGTACACAACAAACTCAAATAAAAAAATTATAATAATGCAATATTGCGCAATATTGTCCACCCAGACCAGTAATAGCATTGTGCCTCAGTTTTGGATTACTTTTTTATTTTTTTAAGGTGGGGTTCAAATACAAATCATGCATTGTTATTATTATTATGACTCATTTCGGTATTTAGTTAAAATATTATATTGTAAATGTTATTTTGTATATTTTGTGGGCAGCTAAAGATGTTTGTTTTTACAAATGGTAAGTCCCGTCCATCATGTACAGATCATTTTGTAAAATAAATAGATACTCATAGCTTTCTGCTATACCCCTATTACAGAGTTAAAGTTTCCCTGTGGAGTTTTTGACCTCAAGTAGCGCTATAGAGCCTTTCCTTTAAGTGGGAACCTGTTTAAGTGTGGTTAACACAGAGCTCCTGTTAGTACATGTACATCTCAGCCAGCGCAGATTACCACTAACATTGTTGCTTCCAGCAAAAAGCTGTATTTAATTCCAGTAATTTTGTCAGAGCAGGGTTTCGGACACTAAGGCACTCAGGGCACTCCCCATAAAGCATGTCACTGTCACCATAAAGGTTAATGATACCCTGCTCTGTAAAATATGCCAACCCCTTTAGGGTTGGCATATTTTACACAGAGCCCTGGTGGTTTTTAACTGCTGGGGGCTTCGACTCTTTCTCGAATCACATCGCAGTAACTCTGAATCTCAGATTTGTGCTGCTTTAAAATGGCAATAAAGTTTTTGTTTTTGTACGGTGACTCTTTATAATCAAGTAAAAATCATTGTCACTGTGGCTCAGTGGGAGAGCGGTGCGTCCTTCAATCAGAGGTTCGACCGTTTGATCGCCGGCTCCACAAGGCCATATCGATGTGTCCTTGGGCAAGACACTTAGCCCCAAAAGGTTCCCGTAGGATGTGCCTGCAGTTTGTGAATATCTATGAATGTTGGTTAGTTCAGATAGACAGGTGGCCTCTTGCATGGTAACCCCCACCATCAGTGTATGACTGGGTGTGAATGGGTGGAAATGGATCCCGCAAGATAGATGATGGGTCGTTTTCCTCACGCTTATTAGTATCATTGATGGTTCACTGAACAGGCCTACAGGGTACAGGCCCAGGGGGCCCTGGACCAAGGCCTCATTATGAAGTGACTGCTCACATTTCAATTAGGAGAGACAAGTCAGATGAAGAAAAGGTAATTGTTTATTATTAACAGATGATATGGGATGATAAAGTCTTGACAGAGTCTTAGGAGCTTGGACTCTACAGGGAGGTTTGTAATGGAGGGGCGTCTGCCCTGAGCAGCAGCAAGATAACCCCCACGTGGAGCCCAGACACTGGTGGTGGTGGTGGCTGATAGAAAGCTGATGAAGCTGATGAAGACTGGGAGGAGATGGGGAGGTGGAGGGTTGCGTAACAGCAGCATGAACGTACTGAAGGTAGAGAGACAGCAGCAGATGATGATAGACTAACGGTGTCATTGTTTTGTTGTAACATACATAGGTATGAAGAAGTTATCAAACCGTGTCTTCCTGCTCAACCCTGCAGCACATCATCCTTCAAGCTCTTTTTTAAAAACAAATACAATTTGACATCTTTATTGGAGCACAGCCGGTGTTTAGTGGATTTTGGCTTGTTATTACCTGCTATTGTATTTTTAGCCCAAAATGAATCAATAATTGAATACGTCCCCGTTGCGTGTGATTGTGGTTGCATAATCACATGGAGTGTAGCAGTGCTGTGTTGTTCAGATGTGGGCTCAAGAGCTTCAAAGCTCCCAAACTTAATTTCCTTTCCTTTTTTCTCTCATCTTTGTGTCGTTTTTTTTCATGTCTCCAGATACTTTTCCTTTGTGATCATCAAATGCACCTTTTTTTTTCATTTCGACAACTCCATCTATCCTTCCTCTCCACTGACACTGACTTGCTGTCCCTCTACATCCTTGTTTCATCTGCTCTCCCCGCTTCCTCTCTGGCTCGTCCTCCTCTTTTTCCTCTTAATTAAACGCCCGTCCTTCCTTATGTCGATCCAGCACTTCCTGTTCAGTCTTCCTCCTCTTCATCCACCTCTTCTTTTTCTGTTCTCATCCATGTTGGAGGTTTAGAGTAGCGTTAAAGAGAAGGAGAGAGGAGGAGGAAGTGGCATGGTATAATCCATATATACGTAAATATACACGGCCACACGCAACAACTCTTGCCATTTGCAGTAACTCATTGGAACAAGGATCATATTTTCACAGCCAATGAATTGTACGCTGCTCCTCTCCAACAGTAAGTGTGTGTTTACACGTATTGTATTTTTTGCTGCTTCTGTGGTCCAACTTTTTGTGCACTTGTGTGTCTTTGTGGGCAGAAAAGGATTACACGATTAGTTAGACACAAATAGCCTAGTGTGTACCATCAAATCTACACATTCTGTAGAAGATGTCATGTGACTTAACACATCATTATTTTGTTGTAATTGCCTTAAAGTAAAGACAATTAGAAAACTATGCTGGTCAATGGAGCTCTTGTTTTGGAGGGTCTTTCTTTCCTGTAAAGCTAGAAAATTGTGTTTTCAAACTTTCATGACATCTATGTAATATTGCACTGCTGCTGTAATCAATAAGTAAAGATGAATATTATTGTGCTAGAAGCATTTACAACAGAAGAGCCACTCCCATAAAGAGAGAGAAGGCCCAGAGAAAGGCAATGGCTCCTAAAGGACAACAGGTGTTAGGGAAGATTGCTGCGGTGCCGAAGCTTAAAAGGTAACCGGGAGGTTTGTTCTTGTTTCACCTGCTGATACACTTCCCCGTTATTCTGCAGAAACAGAGAGAGGGTGGAAAATAGAGAAAAGATGAGGGATGGATGTGGAGACAGACATGATGACAGACATGGAAGTATACAGCAGACAGGAAGGTGCAAAGAGAGATAGAGAGACAGTTTGCCATTTTGCCTGCTCTCTGCCTCGGGCCAGACTGAGAGTGTAAGCCAATCAAACGGTGAGTCTGACAGCAGGTCTTCCTTCTCCCTGCTGGGATCCTCGCATTACCAGTTACACACTCACACACACGGTCAACTTATGTTCCTAAACATGTGCACTTTCCCCACTTGAGAAGGATTGATGAGTCTACCTGAAGGATTTTAACTGGATTTCACTCAATGACCAAACAACTTTTCCTTTTCCTCTTATTTTGGTAGGTTCAGCATAGTAGTTTGTTCAATCATGAATCCATTGAAGCCATTTTACGATTCAGCCATTTAACCAATTAGGGATTTAGTGTAGGTGTCAAGGGAGTTCAGGACAGGACCCACGACTCTTAACCGTCCTCGAGCCAGTAGGGGCCACTGAGGGCGGGGCGACCGTGGCTCAGTGCTAGAGTGGGTCGTCCTTGCGGCTACTCCATGTGGATGTGTCCTTGGGCAAGACAATGAACCCCAAAATGTTCCATTAGGCTGTTCCTGCATTGTATGAATGGGTATGAATTGTAGTTAGTCCTGATGGGCAGGTGGTACCTTGCATGGTTGTCTGAAGCCATACAGATGTTAACCAATCGTATTGTATTCATTCAATTACATAATACAGCTGTGGGCATTGGAGACGCACCTGGCGGGGATCTGCTCTCTACTGAGTGCACCTATCTAGAACCACAAAGCCTTTCCCAAACCTCACCAAGTAGTTTTGTTGCCTAAATCTAACTGAGTTCTTTCCTGTAAACATGTATGTTTACTTTGAAAATACAGTGTATACATTGTGACGGCCCCTGCCTACCTTAAAAGAGTACAAGTGGGGTTTTGGCAGGTATTTGTTGCTGTGTCCCTGAAGGTGTCACAGGAACGCGGTTGCGGCAGAGTGCCGGAAGCAGAGCATCTGGTCCTGGAGCTCCTAGAGAATAAAAGCCCTAGTCCAGTGTTGATCTGGTCTCTCCTGCTCACCTGGACTCATCCCCGCCAGCGTCAGCCCGTTTTGGCCTTGGTTTAGTCTTCTTTGGTTTTCCCCCTTGTTTTTACGTTTACATTACTGAAGGTACTGACCGACACACTTCACAATTGTAGCTATTTCTTTATTTTTTATTTCATTATCATAAATACTTTTAATTTACCATCACCCATTGTGTCCTTTTCCATATGTATCATGGCCTAGGCGCCGGGTTATGACAGCATACATGTAACGGGCAGAAACTGACACATGCAAAACTGACGTTAGAAGGGTAGAGCGTCATGGTTTGAAACAAACGGCCACTGTTGGGGAGTTGGGAGTGATAAAAGTTCAGAATATGGTTTGAGCCTGCTCCAATATTACTGTTGTCAGTTTTCATCAAACCCAGAGGAACCTGCCTGATTTCTGATCCCATTATCTGTGCATGGTAAGATTATATCAACCACCAACAAAACGTTTTCTAATCATCTGCATACAATTACCCCATTCAGAACCCCTATTACACCTCAACAACCCAACTTTCCTGCAAATACTATATCATATATATATATATATATATATATATATCACTCTTCATGTGCACTAAAACATACTTATTTGAACTTTCTTACTTTAATTCTTGCATTCTTATGGTTTTGCAATTCGGGGACATTGCCACGATTTGTCACAAAATGAAAAAATAAAGGTCTGCAAATTCAATTACTTTTGTAGCACAAAGACAGGCCAGTAATGCATCAAACAAACAAAAATCACATTGCTCTCAACGCCTTGTACCGCCACAACAGAAACACAATGCTACTCTGAACTTTGTCGACGCACATAGGTCAGTTAACCCAACCCCTTTGTGTGTGTTTGTGTGTTCTCGTGGTAGGTGTGCTGCAGAGGTGACTGACGGCTCCCAGTACTTTGTGCTGCTGATGATCACAGATGGCGTCATCTCGGACATGGCTCAGACCAAAGAGGCTGTTGTCAATGTGAGTGGACACAACGCTGCACACAAAACGCATCAACTGTATGTGGGGACACCTCATTAATGGGTTCGGCATACATTTAAAGGACTACTTAACCCATAAAATGACCATTTGTACATAATTTACTCATCCTGTGTTACCTTGAATTCTTGAAGAAAACGTTTCTTGCATGTTCTTGTAGCGCCCTGCTAATTTGTTTACATGTGTTTTTTTTAAATGTCTATAAAACAGTACTTTTGCATTTGTGTTCATAGTTTGGAAAAGTACTTATGTGTCCAACAGTTCGAGTTGCCCTTGAACCTCTCCTGTCCTTATAGTATTGGTTGGTCAGGTGTCAAATGTGTTGCCAGCCAATCAGAAGAATCTGATGAGACTCTTGGGTAACCTACCGGGTTCTCAAGGGGGCGGGACTAAGGACCGGGACGCGCGAAGAACACAAACAGAGAGCGGAGAGGAATGACATGGTGCACTGTTGTTGTTAATGTCAGAAACACGGACACTGGACAATGTGAATACATAGTAGAGAACTGAAAAGATAGTATAGAAGTGTTTAACAGGAAGCTCTAACTGTAGTGAGGTTTTCTTTTCGGGGAGACGAGAATGCGGACAGGACAGTCGTGCTAAGGGCTCAACGCGGATGTTCGTGGAGTAACGGTGCGGCTCTGAAGAGGAACTAGAAAATGCATTTCCTGCTGAAAATGCGTTGGAATGCTGAAAGCTGAAATGAATCCCGACAACATTGCTGAAAATAGATATCCAATTTTAAAAAAATTGCAAAAAGCTTAATAATTCAAAAAGTTGAAAGATTACAAATATGAAGTCATATCACCCCTCTCCTGAAAGAGCTGAACATTTTGATATTTGAACGGTTTTTGTAGCTTAAAAAAATTTCAGCGGTAGTGATATTTGTTGTAATTGTTGTAGAAGTTGTAGTTGTAGTTGTTGTAGAAGTATTATTAGTAGTAGAAGTATTAGTAGTATTAGAATAAGTAGTAGTAGTAGTGATATTTGTAATAGTAGTAGTAGAAGTTGTAGTATAAGTATCATTAGTAGTAGAAGTATTAGTATATCACACTTTAGAAGAAGTAGTAGAAGTAGTAGTATCAGTAGTAGTAGTAACAGCTGTAGTAGTGGTCGTAGTATTTAATATAACAGTAGTAGTAGTAGAAGTAGTAGTAGTACTAGTAGCAGTCATACTAATAGCAGTAGTAGTAGTAGCAGTTGTAGTATAAGTGGTAGTGGTAGTAATAATATTGATGGTATCAGTAATAGCAGTAGTAATAATAGCAACAGCAAAAGTTGTAGTAGAAGTAGTAGTAGCAGCAGTAGTAGTAGTAATGCTAGAAATATTAGCAGCAGTAGTAGTAGTTGTCACAGTATTCGTAAGAGCATTCATTATTTCAACAAAAAAGCCTAATTTTGAGCTTAATGTTTAAATACAGTTAATCCATGGGGCTTTTATTTTGAAAGGGTGGGGCTGGGTGGGGGAGAGAGGGGAAGAGGAGACATAATCATAATGTTTGACACATAAACAGAGGTTATTAAATGACAGGCTTCATCACAAGCATTTCAGTTATATTTCACTCTGTAGGGCTTTTATTTTGAAATAGGGTGTGGGGGGGGCAGAGAAGAGATGGACTCATAATGTTAGATAAACACAAACGGGTTATTAAATGTCAGGCTTCATCATCAGCATTTCAGTTAGAATTCATTCTGTGGGGCTTTTATTTTAAAATGGGGTGTGTGTGGGGGGGGAGTCCTCTAAAGATCTCTAAGAACCTGAATGACTGTATGAGAGAGAGAGAGAGAGAGAGAGAGAGAGAGAGAGACATACAGAGATAGAGGGAGAGAGAGAGAGGAGTGCGTGTGTGTCTTGAGTCTGTAACTTTTATGATTTTTGTCAGTCCTTTTCGGACTGTATAATGGGTGTGTATTGCGCAGCTTAGAGTGCGTGATGTCACCGCTAGAGTGAAGAGCAGCTTGAGATACTTGTGAAAAAAAGATTTGTCTTTTGCCACTGAGTCCACAATCTTCACTCTTCATGAATAATTTCTGGATGTAGAAGTAGCTAATCTTGTCCTTGTCGTAGACAAATGACTGTGGAATCCCACAGATTTACACATTTGGCACAGAAGCCTGTAATTTAGAGGAAAACCAACTTTCTGTTCCATAGAGACCAATGTTAAATTTTGCTTCAAAACATCTTCCACAGAACACGGTACCCCATTTCTAGATCGCCAGTTCAGCCACATTTTTTACACTACAGACACAATTTTTACAGGATCTGTTCTTCAACTCATCCTTCCTCTCATTTATTAATATCGGAGCAATAGGAGCTACGGTTATGGGAGTTTTGAGGATTTGTTTGAGAGGCGTTTCCCTGTTTTATCTCCATGAAAAGGCTGCAAGGGCACAGGTGTTTCTGATTAAGCTAATTAGTGATGTTGATAAACACAGACTCACAGACATACACATACACTCCTCTCTCTCTCTCTCTCTCTCTCTCTCTCTCTCTCTCTCTCTGTGTGTGTGTCTCTCATACAGTCATTCAGGTCTTAGAGACTTTTAGAGGACTCCCCCCCCCCC